TCTAGGGACCCTGAATATTTTGGGGCTGGATTTCAACAAAGAGGGATGTGCCCAGGGAAGACTTGGGGAATCTCATAGCCTTGCCCGTTTCATAGCAAATTGGTCCAGATGGAAAACTGTATAGCTCCTGGCCTAGACCCATTGCAGAGAAAATCCTATCTTCTTTTGAGGAGGACCAAGGACTCTGGCTCCACTGGCAGGCTGAGCTATCTCCTAAATCCTCTCTTGCTCCCTTCAGCCACGAGGCATGTTTAGCCACTGCCCAGAAACGTCAGCTGAGCCTTCCAGTGTCTCTGTCTGCAGAGATAAAATTAAGTCAGATGAGGAACCATCTTCAAGTAACTCACGGTCAAAGCTGACCCTCTGATCACTTCACTGTGCGCCTTTGTCTCGTAGCTTGTTTATTTACATGTTCCCAGAACAACGTGACCCTGGAGAATGACTCATTTACTGTCGGCTAGTATTGTGTTGTGAGAGTGAGAAGGCAGATGAGAGGTGCTTTGCCATTGCTGGGCACGAAGAAAGTGCTTCCTAAATAGCCTCTGTTATGCAGCCGTGTGTGCTTGGCCTCCTCCTCCCTCCCGCCCCCAGGCAGGCTGGCGAGGCAGGCTGTGGGATCCGGCTGCAGCTGCTGCCGCTGTTCCAGGGGCTCACAGGCGGCACGTTCCATGTCCATCCCTGGAGAATCATTTGTTTCTCACTGCTCTTCACAGCCGGTTTCAAGGTATTGGGTTGGACAAGGAAGATAAGGTGCTCTGATGATCAGCATACATCTTTTCAGTACACTTATATAAGGACTGAATCTCAGAATTACTCTGAGAAATTACATACTGTATATGCATTTCTCCAAATGCTAATATTATGTAAGGACATGACATTGCCTTCTTTATAAGGCAGAATAAAAACAATTTTAGATGGTTGGTGTCAACAGAGTCAGTCAGTAAAAAGAGCAAAGAAGACATTGACTGTTCAGCAGCGAGCACCTATGTGCAGCCCCACTGAGGGAGACAGTATTTTGGATAGAATGAAAATGCAAAAAATGATCAGTAAAGAAACTCTCAGGATTTATTTAGATTTTTTTGATTACTTAAAAATGTCAGCAGATCTTATTCCTGAAAACAATTTTATTCCTAACCATTACACAAATATTCTATCCCTTGAATGAGCATACTAATCAATCACTTGGACAATGTCCAAATAATAGGTTTAGCTGGATATAGTAAACACTGTGATTATGGCTAAATTTAATCCCATTAGCTGCACTGCTTAAAACAAAACAAAACAAAATACAAAGGTCATCCCCTTCAGGACTGAGTACATTTCCCAAAGGTGTGAGACCCCAGGTGTCCCCTCACCGTGCTGCATTCCCCTTGAAGCTTGCTCGTGACACCAGCCTGCCTTGCACCCTGAAGAACTGGGACACTCTCCAGTGGTTGCTTCTCCCTGCCCACTAAGGCACAGAAGGCCAACATGCTCCTACCCTGGCAGTCAGTCGCTCTGCCACTCTCAGTGGGCATGCATGTGAAGTGTCACTTGTCCTTGGTGCCTGTAGGGGCTTCAGATTCAACTGCAAGTGCTGTGAAAAGCAGCCGATGCCGGGAAGAGGCAGTGGCAGGGGGATGAAGGATGTGCAACATGGCATAAGCTGCTCATAATGTGAGTCGCCTTCACCCTCACACTGGGGAAGGAGGATGAGGAAGACGGTAAGACAGGTGGGAAAGAACATGGAGCCCTTTTGGGCAAATGGAGGCAAGAATGAAGATCTGACCTCCCACAGGCGTTCCTGTCACAGCTCCATGGGTCCACCTCTCTCTAGGAGGGTGTAATGACTTCCCAGATCTTTCTCATTTTAGGAAGGCTCAGCAGAACACCTTAGAATCTCCACCAAGAAGGGGCCATCATGACCCTCCAGACACATCTCAGTCCAGGAGGGCTCTGAACTTCTCAGCAAAAATGCACACAAGGAGAACATATCAACATTTCCCATATTCCTCTCTGCCAAGGAGAGGTAATCACAACTTTCCAGACCTGTCTCCCCCCAGCAGGGGAACCAACCGTCACTGTTCAGGTACACGTCAGTTCAAGAAGGCTCTGGACTCCGCAGATATACTTCCTCGCAAGCAGGAGGACCTGCCATGATTCTCCAGTCTGGTCTTTTACTGTCCATCATTTCCTGCCCGGAACCAAAAACAGTGAGAGAGCAGAAAAAGCCTCCATCAAGTCTCCTTTATGGGAGGCTGAGGACCCTCTCATTAGTCACTCCCAAAGGAGAGTAAATACCAGCATTGGGGGAGAAAGCAATCAGTAGCTGCAAGACCGGAATCTGGGGGTATCCTCCTCCTCAGGGAACAACTAGCAGCAGAGAGAGCATCTGTGGAATTTGGCCATAAAGACCACTGGTGTCAACAAGATTTTGCATTTTCTGAACAAAAACTTGGGGTTAATAAATGCCAGTTCTATATGACTCTTCAAACAAGAAGATGAGTTACCTACACATGCCCGCAGGAAAGAGCAAACCGAATGGTCCAGGGATCAGCCAAGGGGTCTGCAGCCCAGCCAGTTCTGGACAGGGTCATGGTGAAGATGAAGATATGAAGGAAAACCAGCACTCTGAGCTATAAAATAACCAAGCAGAGAAATTTATCTATGGGCTCCAGATCCTCTTTCTCTTCCAGATTGACTATGGAGAGGCTGCCCAGGGCACCATGCCCTGCCATCGCTTCATTGCTGCTCAGGAACAGAGGATTGAACCCTCATACGGGTACCTGAAGTTCCCACTGATGGCCACTGAGTCCCAAAATCCTGTCTCTTTCAAGGTGTCAAGCAGACAGGCTGGCCAGGAAGTTTTGGACACAGTGGGTACTTTCCCCTCCATTCCCATTTCAAGAGGGAGAAGCCACCATGTCACCTCCTGCTGTGAGGGCTCCACTCTTCCTGATAAATGACTCCCCCTTGGCCATCACTGCTGTGAATGCTTGCTCCCACCTCCCAGGTGGTCCTACACCCTCAGAGCTCCCTGCGCTACTCTGTTACCTCCAGCTCTTCAGTCTAGTCTTGGCATTGGAAATCCATCACCAACTCCTGGGATTCATCCTTCACACCCAGGCCCAGAAGTCCACCCACCGCCACTCCTCAGGTCAGCCTGGGCTCTGAGGCCCGCCAGCTTCCGGTTCATCCCACAGCTTCTGGCTTTCACTCCAGCCTCTCAGAAGGCTTCCCACCAAGAGTACACAGTGATTCCTGACTCCCAACTGGGAAGTCCCCAGGGTTCAGTAAAGATCCTGGAAACATGCCTCCCTTTCTTCCAGATGAAAAACCCTGCCTTTCCGCACCAAGTTTTCTTCCTTCTGATTTCCTGTTTTTTTCCTCCACAGGAAAGTTTTGGTGATTTTGTATAGGGAATCGCTGTATCTCCAGAACTCGTTACACAGACTTTGCACACAAACCCACAGTGGTATGAATAACATTGCAGCAACAACAAAAAAACATATTAAACTGCTAAATAAAAGAGCCTGTATTGTTATATTAAAACTACACTTACAGGCAGGCAAAGAAACATTAATAAAAACAAACAAGGGACAACATATCAAATAAGGAGGAAGACAAGGAGAAGCAGGGATCTGATTTATGAGTACAGGGCAGGGAAAGTGCTCCAGTGCCCAGTTCCTGTGAGGAACAGGCAGGGCCCTCGGCAGGTGGGTCAGGCTGAGACTTCAGATGGCTGTGCGCACTGCCCGGGGAGGTGGGGGTGCGGGGTGCGGGGTGGGGGTGGTTAGACTCTCTGTTTCTTAAGCAAAGACAAGAGCTTTCTCAGATGTGACACAGAACTTATGTTAACCATTTAAAATAAAAATTCTAACCCCTTTATTTTTGTGAAGCTCATGGTGTGTGACATGTTTTTAAAGATAGTTTCAAGAAGCCATAAAATAATGTGTGGGAAACAGTGATAGCTCATAAATTGTAGCAGCTATTAACTACTTGCCCAGTGAACTCTTCTGGGATAAAAACAAAAAACAAAAAACAAAAAACTGGTTTCACCACCTATTAAAACCCCAGCCTATTAAAAACTAGTGTTGCTTGTGAAGCTTGAGAAAGCAGCTTACACTGTTGCTGTTTGAAAGGAACTTGAATTAAAGGAATCTTTGGCATTTTTCTGAACCCACACATGATGGGCTGCATTTTTTGGTTGTTTTCTTTTCTTTCTCCTCCTCCTCTTCTCCTTCATTGCTCTAGGACCTGGGGCTGCAGGGGTGAACATCTGGGCACGGTCTTCAAGGAGCCCATCTGTCCTGCTCAAGTGCCAGGCAAAGCCCACCTTCCTTGGTAAAGGTCAGTATGGGCAGAGATGGGGAAGTGGAGGCATAAATAGCCACCTTCAGGATATGGAGCAGGAAGGCAAAGAGCCTGAGCACTGCCACTCAAAGTACAAATCGGTACAGAGGACACATGAGCAGGAGCCAGGGCCCAAGGAGGGAGAGGACCTGGAGCTGGCCGACAACTATGGTTTGTGGGTTGGCTGGGCACAGGGGGTCTCTGGGGGTGCAGTCTGGTGCTGGCTGGGACTGCAGAGTTCAGAAGACTCAGTGGACTGGATGTCCAAGACAACGTCCTCACTTGACTGGCCACGGGCTGTGGGACGATGCCGACTGAAGCGGACACTTACACCACGGGCTCTCCACACGCTTGGGCCCCTCACAGGGAGCCCGACAAGAGACCCAGACAAAACGACGGAGCCTCATGTGATCTAGTGTCTGAAGTCCTAGAACACTGCTTCTGCCACGTTCAGATGGACAAACAAGTCACAGAGTCCAGCCCAGATGCAAGGGGAGGGGAATCAGACCCCACCTGGGAAGGGAGGAATGGCAAGGTCATTTCAGAAGAGCAGTTGGGCTGCAAAATACTCCTGTAGGCATTTAAATGACTTACCATCCGTCATAAGAACATAGTATTAACAGTGCATTCTACAGGCGAGGGAGTTTTGCAACAATTAGCCAGATCAAATGGTCAGCTCACTTTCTTAAGGTCAACCAAGTCCACATTCCCTCTGATTTCTTTACCAGTATGCTTCATTTAAGACAGTATTCTAAAACTTTAATAATGAGTCACTTGTTTTAAAGATGCAGTATTATTTGCAATAATATGAAAACATAAATTAAATTTATGAACTAGAAATGTAACTTCTAGTAGGATTTGGGAGGTCATGTTTGAGAAATATTATGAAAGGAAGAACTAGCATTTGTTGAGATGCTTCAGTGGTCCAGGCAGTTATACACTACATACAAACTCATTTAATCTTCACAATAATCCACGTCTTCCAAATAAAAAGTGAAGTTTAGAGTGGTTAAAAACTTGTCAAAAGTCACACAGCCAGTAAGTATTGGAACCAGGGTTTAAACACAAGTATGGCTCAGTCCACCTTCTATGTGTTTCCCACACAGCTCCATGCTGTAGGCTGGGCTTCCCAGGAATCAGGCTGAGAGGAGGTGAGCATGAAGGAAGTTAATGGGATGTTCTTAGGGACACCACCTGTAAGGGACGGTAAAAGGCTCAGAATCAGGTAAAGGAGGTGGACGGCGATGTAGCCGCACTTAAGAAGTCAGCAGGCCCATGGAGAGCTGGGACAGTCCTTCAGGGTTATCCTGAATAGGGAGCAAGGGCTCTGGACCTTTCTTGCCATCCCATGCCCCCGCGGCAGGCATCACAGTAAATGGCTGTTGAGTAGACAAACGCTTCAAGCACTCAGTCCAGATTGAACTGTAAAGGGCAGCAGCATCAGAGAGGGGAGGCACCACTGACGTGTGAGGGCACCAGCCCTGACTCAGGACTAGGAGGGCCTTTCCTAGCAGACTGGGGCACTCAGGGCCTAGACAGTCCTCAGAAGGAGAAGACAGATCTCTAGGCCCAGAGCGCTAATATGAACAGCAGTGCGAGCCCCTACGGACAGCCTGCCCAGGAGCCCCTCAGTGAAGGCTGGTACATTTTTAATGTTGCTGAGTTTAGGAATGGCTCCAAATCTAATCAACTTACAGTATTGAATCTATTTACTCTTGGATTCCAAATTGTGACCAACCTCAAGGAGGAGTTCCTAAAAGTCAGTAATTCAGTAAGTATTCACGCCTAGAGGCCAGTGGTGGGAGATCACAGGCTGATAAAGTATTAGCAGTCAATCAGGACAGTCATCTGCAAAGCGTGCTGCCCAAAGAGGGCGGAAACCTCACGTTTCCCAGACGCACCCCTCATATCTGTGCCTGATTCAGCCTCACCTTCAGTCTTTGTGGAGGACTGGAAGAAGGAGAAGCAGGGAGAATTAGAGGTCAGCAGAGAAGAGGAAGAAATGAGATACCGTAAGGGAAACAGGACTGATTTACTGACTATGATATCTCACTTAATCCTTATCACAACCCTATGAATTAAGCTGATTACTGGGTTTCCAGATGAGGAAACTGAGATTCATAGGACTAACTGAGATCCCATGAGTTCGGGAGGAAACCGAAGAGAGAAGGAAAAAGGGGTGAAGGGAAGAGGGAAAGGAGACTAGAACATACTCAGGCTGCGGGAACACCGTGTGTCCCTTCTCTGCACCCAAACTGAGAAACCAACAGGAAATAAGTTCCTGAGCCCTTAGTCCTCATTCTACCTTCTCTTTCCCCTTTCTCAGCATCTCCAGATCCTGCCTGGAGTGCCTGAAGATCTCTGAGGGGACTGTCTTTCCAGAGGTTTTTGACGTATGATCACAGAAATCATTTTTGGCTTCATTTCCAACACAATTTTCAACAATGAATTGAATACTTACTGAGCACTTCCTACATAATAGGACATTTTAAGTACATTATTAATTTACTCTTCATTCACAACGACTTTGCCAAGATAAAGAATTATTCTGGTTTTTGTGGAAAATGTTTGAAGCTCAGAGAGGCTGAGTAACCAGTTCAAGATCACACAGCTAGTGTCAGAACCAGGACTTACACATTTTCACTTCATCATCCTGCCTCAAGGTCCATGAACCTCACATATTATCACCCTGGGCTTGCATTTGCTGGGTCTAAACACACAGGGCCCATCAGGGGGTACAAATTTTGCATGGATTAGTAACCCAGCACTGGGTGTTTTATTTTTATTTATTTAATTCAATACTTTTTTTGTGACTATTGGTACCTGTATGGCATAGAGGCCTCCCTCAAATAAATTAAACTTCCCATCTGTACTGAGGTAATTTGGCAAGAAGTGATTCACAGCCAGCGCAGATAGAGGACGAACACAGAAAAGGGAGGCGTGTGAGGGGAACCTGCATGCAGCTGTGGCACACGCACCTCATTTTCTGCCTTCCGCCAAATAGCCACCACCCCCACGCTGGTACTCGTGGAAGGCGGCATTCAGTTTGTGCTTCTGGCCTGTGGGCCGTCGGTGGCCCCACAACGAGCGCCCACCGCTCTGCGGCTTTGGCGGTTATCATCGGTCGGGGACCGCCTCTGGCCGGCGCGGACACCTACAGGTGCCGCAAGTCGGGGGGAGGTGACCGCTATCCACAGGGCTTCTGCAGTCCCCGCCCGGCTGCAGAAGGGGGGAGGCCCTCGGTCCTCCCAGGTCTTGGCAGCGCAGGCAGACACTGGCGGAGCACTGCCGGAGGGCTGGTGGGCCAGGGCCCCGGGGCAGGGGACCATTCCGGAGGCACATCCGATTGGAAGGCACTGTCTTCTCAGAACCACACGAGGAGGCAGGGGGCATTGGAGGCCAGGCCTCCTCGGTCACACTGTGACCCTGAGTGCGGCCAGCCAACCAGGCAGGGGGGCAGAGAAAGAGGGAGCAGGTGGAGGCGGGGCGGGGAGGGCATTTGCTGGGGCATATGGAAACACCGGAGTCAAGCAATGCCAGCCGCAGTCTGGAGTCCTAGATGGAAAGAGGACGGTGCCACAATGGTACCAACTCCCAACCCTGGGTAGTAGAAAGGGGAAAAATTTACACACACACACACGTATGTAACTTGTGTAAAACGGCCAGGGTCGAGACCCTGTCCCACCACTGTGGGGACCTGCCTGAGGTGCGTGACCTGACAGCGGACAGGTGCTCCCCCGGAAGAGGCTGCGGAGGAGGGTCACGCGCGGGCCCGACTCGCGCAGGGGAAGTCGCGGGCGGCGCTGCCTCCCTCCGACGGATCGGGCGGCTGCCTGTTTCCCCCGCAGGAAGCGTCCCCGAGCCGAGCGCGGCGGGCTGTGCGTCGGGAACCTCAGGGGTGGAGGCCTGAGCGGGGGCGGCCCCGAGCCCGAGGCCCTCTACGCTCCCCGTGGCGGGTAAGGGTGGGGCCGGACGCCGCCGCGCTGCCCTATCACCGCGGCCCCAGCGCCGCCTCTCCCCTCGGCGGCTGCGCGCGGCCCGCTTCCTCCCGCGCCGGAAGGGGACGCGGAGCCCGCGGGCCGGAAGCCGTGGTGGCCGGTCCCTCCTCCCGCGCTCGGAGCCCTGGCACGGCCCCTCGGCCCCACGTGGGCGGCGGCGGAGCACGTCTCGGGTGGCGCGTGGGCGCCGGAGGGAGGCCCGACTCTCCGCGGGCAGCGCCCTCAGGCGCCCGGGCGGCGCCAGGCCCCGCTCCCCCCGGCCGCCGGAGCAGCTCCGGCCCCGCCGCCCTCCCAGGACGCTACCCGACGGCGCCTAGGCCGCTTACTCCACCAGATTTAAGACAGAACAGTAAAGTTTTAGGATGGCCAGAAGAGATCATTCTTTGCTGAATTCTAATATCTGAAAGATAATTACTTGAGTAATTGTAAGCGCTTTTCCTTATTTGGAGAAAAAAAAGGAATGAAGAAAATACACACACACACAAACCCCAAAATGCTCAAGTTAAGCATTAACAAACCAGGTTCATGGTTTGTTATTTATGACCACTATCCAAAAATCCAACCATAAACAATGTAAAGTAGTGCTCCTCGGTATTATTTTTTCAGTTGTTAGTAATGTTAAGCATCAAGAAAATTAAAACACATCATTGCACATTAGAGCCGCCAAAAAAAAAAAAACGGCTAAACTTCGACACTAGAGAACTGAATAATTTTTGATATTACATCACAGCTTCTCATGTATTATCTTATGTGAAAGGTCTTTACACACATACGACATTTTCCCTGGGTGATGCTTCAGGTCAAATGCCGAGTTATGGCACGAAGAGCATAAAGAAGATCAGCTTGCATCCGTGCTTCCATGAAAGTAAATTTACGTGAACCTAAAAATGAAAATTTTAATTTAGTGACCGTTATAAACATAACTGAAAAATATTTACTTTTTTTCAGATACCAGGCATTCACAAGGTTTTCATGTATATATAGACAGACACACGTACAAACACAAATGCCTGGGCATATTTATGCAAGTACGTGATAAAAGAAAGAAACCTCATGTGTTGTACCAGAAAAGGATGGTAAATGGAAGGGGAATATTAACACAACACTACTCCATGATTCTTTCATGAGAGAAAAAAAGTTAAGTCTTATATAACAAGTAAATCTAAAATGAAATCTTTGTGGGAACTCTTTTAACAGAAAATTTTAACTCTGTTACTGACTATGAAAACAATGGATCCATGTACGTGATGTAACACTCTTAACAGTATTTATCAAAAATGGCTCTTGTGAGCATTTGATGAACGACCCTGAAAGTCTTAAAAATTCCAGCAATTATTTTTAGAACATGGGTTTTGTAAAGCCAATCAGTCTTTTGAGTTTATAAAATAAAAATGTTTATAAATTACAATTTTCCTATAAATTATATTTTCTTCCAGTTGTAAAATTTTATATGACTGAAAATCATCTCTATATTTCTTATAGCCTATGCTTATTCCTTGGGAAGGTCTTTAAAAGTATTTTTTACTGTTTACTTGAAAGATACTAAGGTGGAAATTTAAAGCTTAAAGCAATTTGTGGTTAGTGTCCAGTACTCATTAGATATGCATAGCCTAAGGTTCCTGAGACTCATTTAGATAACGCTGTGAATAAGCACCTAACATTTTTTGGGATACTCTGAGTTGATAGGTTAAAATTAATACCCACATATTTTCAAACTTTATTATAAAGAAATATGTTTTGCTATTATATTTAAATTATTCTGGTAACTTTCTACAGGTTGGGTTTATTGTTGGATATAATCTCTTGAGTTAAGAGAATATTTCTAGATAAAACCTAGTAAAGGAAGAAAATCTAGTGCAAATATGTAAGTAGGACATAAAGATCCATCAAGGAAACATGGTGGAGATAAAATGGGTATTTATCTGATGTGTGATCAGCTCTAAGACTTAAAAACATCTGTTAGATTTTGAGGCCATAACATTCTCTGTCAAGTTAATTAGTGAATATTAGGACCCTAAAAAGATTTTCTTACTCTGAAGCTTGGGCACTATGTTATAAATGGAAGATTCTTGGACTAACAGGTCAATACCTAGGATTTAGAGTCAATTCTTATACTGTAATGTTGGTAAAGATGTGTAACACTTTTTAGGTCCTAAATAATAATTCTAATATATTTCATCCAAAGAAATATTCTGACATAATAAATAATATATTTGGCTCAAAGGTCTTGCATTATATTGTCAAAATACTAAATTACCCAATCAGAATGAGAAACTATTGTTCTGTTAACTCTAATGGCTAGAGTTAACGAATCTCTAAATGGATATGCCTTCTGAGCCAAGATACAATTACATCTAACAACATCTCAGTAGGCTTGATTTTTATTAATCGTTAGAATGATAGACGCCTTCACAAATGTACTTCAAAAATATCAATATTTGGGTCTAATCTTTCAAAGGTCAATACTAAACTTTATATACCACATTGGACAAAACATAACCAAAATTTAGTTAATATTCAATAAACCTAAATTTAGTAACATAAAAGTAAACAGATGGCTAGCTGATGCCACTTTCATAATGGCACTAATTTATCAATATTTCCCTGTATCGTTTTTCATAATCATTGCTAATTATATTGAACATTTATCTATGGTAAAATGTCTGGTCCTGAAACATACCTTTTCTGAGTGTTTGAACTGATGCCAGTAACTATCATACATGTGCTTGGTAGTTTTCTCAGGATAGCAGGTCACTGTCTTAATGTAAACCTTCAGGCTTGTTCAAGTAATTGATTAACTTCTCCATAATCATAGTCATTGTACCTATGAGCAAGGTGACAACAGCTTTATAATGACAAAATAAAATTTTCTAAAGTTATACTGAGACTTTTATTATCTAGTAATTAAATACCAAAAGCTCACTCATTAACTCATCTAACAAATACTGAGTGCCTGTCATATGCCATGTACCTTCTGGTACTCTTCTGCAAACTGGTGATAACTACTGAACAAAGTAAGACAAAAATCCCTGGTCTCATGGAATTTAAATTCTACCGGAGAAAAAAAAAAAATTAAAAAGACAACCCTATACTATGTCAGCGGCAGTAACCGCTAAGGAGAGCAGAGGGCACAGGAAGTCGGGAAGAGAGCAGCTGTGGTTGTGACAGGGTGGGCAGGAGGGCGTCTCTGAGAGGCTGACACCTGGGCGAGTATCAGGAGAAGGGGCTCCAGGGTCCAGCCCTAAGTAAGGCAGGAGTCAAACGTTCCAAGAAGAGGGAGTAGTTAACTGTCCAATGCCGCTGACTCGTCAGGGAAAGTGAGAACCAAGGGCTGACGCCGGAGTAGCTACACAAAGGTCACTGGCTACCTCACTGCCAAGGTTTTTTGGCAAGGTAGGAAGGAGTAAAAGCCTGACAGGATAGTGGGTTCCAGAGGGAATGGGAGATGAGAAAATAGGGACGGTAAATATGTAACATTTTTTCAAAGAGATATGCTGTGCATGGGAGCATAAAAATGAGGCAACAATTGGAGGGAAAAGAAGAGTAAAGAAAGGACTTATTTTTTTTTTTTTACCATATAATTTCACTTTTATGTGGAATCTAAAAACAAACAAACAAAACAGAAATAGACTCATAAACACAGAGAACAAACTGGTGGTGGTTATAGGGGTGGGGAGTTGGTGGATGGGTGAAATAGGTGAAAGGGATAAAGAGATACATAATTCCAGTTATAAAATAAATTAGAAAGGACTTATTTTTTAAGACGAAAGAAATAGCATGTTTCCATACTGATGGGAAAGATCCAATAAGGAGTAAAGTTGATTATGAAGGAGAAAGAAGGTAGAATCGCTAGAATAAGGACCTTCAGAAGATGAGGGGAGATGGGATTTTGTGCCCAAGTGCACAGGAGCAGACAGTTCATCCATATTAACAGAAAGGACAGCAGAGGAAATGGCTAGAGAGGCAGACAGGAGGGTAAAAGTAGTGAGAGCTTGTGGGATTCACTTCCACATTTTCAGTTAATTTTTATCCCAAACATAATGCTTAGTTAAAAAAAAGTTATCGCAAGGATTTTTTTTTGTTATCATTAATCTACAATTACATGAAGAACATTTTGTTTACTAGGGTCTCCCCTTCACCAAGTCCCCCCCATAAACCCCATTACAGTTATCTCAAGGATTTTATATAGGCTTTATTTAGTAGCATCCTACTGATAAATATAACCACGACATGTGATTTACTATCTTGAATATAATATTTGTCACAACTGAATTAAACTCTATTAGTATTTATTTTTCTTAATTAGGTAAGTACAATGTTTTTAAAATGTGAGGATTCTGTGATAACTTATTGTCTAAGATGGTAAATGGTCTAATAGCTGTAACTTAACCACATTAATAGCGTCTTTTATGCAGAATGTTTCATTATTAGTTGATTGTTCAGTAAATTTCTTTTTTAAGTTAAAGTTATAGAAAATACTTTACTTAACAAATCTAATTCCATTCCATTAAGGCTTTCTGATACTCTCTCAGAAAGGATACAGTACAGAGTCAAATTGAATATATTCATAACTGAGAATTTCCTTTCTGAAAATCTATCTCCATAAAATCCTTTACACTCTAGCTCAAAAAGGTACATTCTTCAAAAAGAGCTTGCCTTGTTGATTAGACCATTCAATTTCATGCACTCATTTACTCACTGTCCTTTCATTGCTTATTTTCTAAACTTAAAGGCCATTAATTTATACTGATGGGTAGTTTTGTTTTTGTGTTCTGATGGAAGGTTCACGAGAGCTTAGTTTTATTTATAATTACCATTCCTTCAAAAATAATAAATAAACCAACAAAGCAACCAGCACTTACTACAGTGATCTAGCGGGACTCAGTGTCTGTTTATTAGCTGTCGATTCTTTCAGGAAGGATTCTCAAATTCAGTCTGATTCTACTTTATCCCCACTGATTACTGATTATTTTTTCCCCTTCTTGGTAAATCCATACCACTGTATTCACATGTACATGTTAAGATTCAAAATAATTAAAGAAAAATGCTTTTCTGTATAGTGTGGCGGGGCATGGGGAGGGCTGTGCAACACAGAGAAGACAAATAGTGATTTTACAGCATCTTACTATGTTGATGGACAGTGACTGTGAATGGGGATGTGGGGGGGACTTGGTGAAGGGGGGAGCCTAGTAAACATAATGTCCTTCATGTAATTGTAGATTAATGATACCAAAATAAAATTAAAAAGAATGCTTTTCTATAAAATGGAATTAATTTTTAAAATCAGAAGTCTGCATGTAATATTTTCTCCCCAGAACTGTATACCCCTAACCAGGACAGAAGTAGATCCATGTCAGGATTTTCCTTTGGCAGTGCAGAGGACCGCTTCCACAGCAAACATACCTGATTCCAAACATACAGTGAGCATAGTTAAATAAAGCTCTGTGTAGCATGGTTGTGTCCACATCCTCATGGGTGGCCATCGTGTTATAGGTGAGATTGTAGACCATGCGAAACTTTTCATCAAGAAGATGTCCAATGTCAGAATAAAGCCTGTTCACCGGGAGAACCCGTGATTTTCCCAGGTGTAGTCCTGAAAGAACAGGATTCATCCAAGTACAAAATGGCATTCTCTACTTAAATTCTATGTTTTTATTAAATATAACTACTGAAGCAAGCAACTGAAGATACTTCAAATTTAATTCTAAGTTTGTAGGTTTACTAAGAACGTTTCCCATCAGTCTGCAGATCAGAGCACCATGTGGTTTCCTCAATGGAGTCCAAGGTCTGGCGTGCTGGGGTTGGACTCTGGCCTCTCCTGTGGCTGGGGACTCTGCAGACTATGCTCTTACCTGAAGGACCCCAGAAGACCTTGGAGTATTCCTATGTGACCAAACCTACCCAATGACAGGGACAGTTAGCAGATTATCTGAAACCAGTGCAAAGGAGTCTGTCTTGATTCAAACTTACTCTCTCTTTAGGAGCCACATCACTATTGTGGCTATTTTTTGGGGGAGGGGGGGAGGGTGGGTTACATAAATACCATAACTACTAGTGTGTGATCTTATTACAAAATACCTTATTATAAATGTGACCATATCAGTTGGTTTCCTCCATGCTCCTCTCCACAAAATGGCATGAACACTATACAACTACAGTGTATTAATGCAAATAACTGAGTAAAGCAGACAGCTTCCTTTTGTCTTCTTAGTGGGGAAAACATTGGAAATAATTATCTGCTGGGACATCAGATTAGGCCAAAAACTAGGTTAAATAAAAAGATTTATACACTCCATCAAGATGACTTACTAACTTTAGAAATCAATTTACTTACATTTCAACATTTCCCAGTTAAAGCAACAGTACTTATTCTCTAGTTTCTCTGAATTAAAGGCATCTTATACCTGAGCTTGGAATGTTGGCAAATGTTCTCCTCCTCGTCTGGCAAAGTCTTCATACCCAAAACCAGGGTCTTCAATATATCGGGAGACATCAGACGTTATAATCATGCCATACTCAAAATCTAAGGACAGTAAGGAACAATCTAGCAATAAGGAAATTGTACATAACTAGAACAATGAAACAATTCCAGCTTCAGCTTCACTTTTTAGCTTTTCCATGGATTTCCAAAGTTACAATATTAACTACATAGCTTAAATTCATATAAACTACCTATTGCTTAAGTTTTGAATACAATTTCATTACAAAATACTAGCAATGTTAACATTTAACTATAGTTATCCTAGGCAAAAAAACTGTCTAACTGGAAATATCTAAACAATAGTAGCAAAGGACTGATACACTAGTTGTAACTTATTTAATAAAGGAAAATAGCACAGGTCTTCAAGTATAAAGCATAGCCATTTTTTTTTGTCTCTTTGGGGGATGAAGTGGGATGTGGGGAAAAGAAGACATGAAGGTAAAAGGCCACTTTAATTGAGTTTATTAAGACAGATTTTGTTTAAATTGTATATTCCATCTGGATGTATTCATAGTGAAAATTAGTTCAGCACAGTTCATTTTTAGCCTACAAAGAGGCATACAGGGAAAGACTGGCAAGGGAACACAATGTGGAGGAAAGCAGCCTTTTGGGTGTGGATATTATTCTTGGTTGACCTGGGTGTTAAACAGGAAAGTTCAGTTTGTGAAAATTCACTGAGTTATCTACCTAAGATTTGTACACTTTTATGTGTACATGAAAATAAAAAGGTATGCAACTTATGAAGTAACAATGTGCTTATGGTACTGGTATTAGAGCATTATGAAAGAGGCATTCAAGAAGATAGGAAGATTAGAATAATATTAAGACAGCTGACTTCTGCATACTTGGTAATATTAGAAATCTACCACTGAGAAAACTTTAAATGCCTATTGAATGCTAATTTGATTTAAAGGTAACTATTTTCTAATTCACTTTCTTTTTGCAGGTTAGTCTGTCTTTATAATTATTTTTTCTTATTTCAACCACTAAAAGGGTATGGGTAACCTTTATTTACTCCCTTCTACTCTAGAAAATGAATAGTTTTTAAAATGAAAAAATTAGCTCCTATACAAAGTACAATATTAATAAGTATTTTAGTCAATATTAAATTTAATGTTTAATAGTCAATAAAAATTTTATGGCATAATAAAAAAGCATAATTTTTAACATATTTTTAACACATAAATTTTAACACATAATTTTTAAGCTTAAGAAGCTTAAAAAACAAGAGGTTACAGTAATTCATCTGAGAGACCCGGTACACTAATAGTACCTTAATTATCATTCATCTCTTGTTATTCCATGAAAATCCTAGCAGTAAGTATTCTTTCCTCACAAGTTTTAACTTTTCCTTAGGTTGCTACCATGGACTAAATGAGATACTTCATAACAGAAGGAAAGATCAAGTGGCCAAGCTACCCAACTTTGGAAACACCTTATTAAAATACCTTCTCTATTACATATAGAGAAGAGACTGGCATTTGTTGAGAACTTACTATATACCACTATGGTATACTTAATATTTATTTTTTTCTTTGTTTCATTAACATGGAAAGAAATATCCACTGAATAAGCAAACTAACTCTCAACTACTAATACCATTGTCAGTACTGAATGAGGGTCGACAGGAAATACAATGTGGATTAGCTTAACATAATGTGGAAAACTTGCAAACGTTAAACTACTTAATTTGATCTGAAGCTTTTAAGTGACTTTCAGTTCTCTGAAGAGAAATCTCAGGCTCATCCCTTGCCCCGTCTGTCCCCCAGCCGCTGTTGTCCCTTGTGCTCCAGCACCCTATTTGAGTAAATAGAGACTTTTCTTTCTGTGGACAAAACTGGTGTTTTCAGTGCATTATCTCTTAACATTTATGAACAAAGTTATGTTTTCCTTAATTCAGTCCATCACATAATAATCAAAAGAAATGAAGCAAAATTTGAAAATGTAGTAGCAACTCCTGAGACTACTATGAAAACTAGGAGTTTTGTGCATTACAAAGTAAAATTGAACCAGGAACAGTGAGCAATAAGTAAACTCTGTAAAACAGTTTCTCTCTTCAAGTGCTCTTTCTTCCTACATGTACAACCAGGTGGTTTCACTTGGCAAATACTGATACTAGAGTTGACCATTATGTAGCTGGTACCTTTGATTTCGATGATAGTTTTTGTTTTGCTTATATACATTTTTATGTTTTCACGGGACTTTCAAACATTTTTATATGAAGAATAAAGAGTAATTAGCCAAAGAGGAAGGAATTTGTCCTATGAATAAATCCACTCATTTAAAAATCAGGGGTCAATCAAGACCTATTTCTACTCAATTTTGTCCACAGAAAGAAATGTACAAAGGTCTTTTATTAAACTACAAATATTTTTTTCCGAAATTTATTTTTTAAGAAGCCAAAAAATTTTTTTAAAGATGTCAAAATTAGTGTTCTGGTCAACAAATCTAAAACTGTAATTTTAATTTTGTCTAAAATATTTCAAAGTCTGGTCTCAAAGGAAATAATATTTGGCATACTATTTGCATTTCTGTCCCTAAGAGGTAGCTACTAACATAATACAGAAATCCTCTGTTACAATAATGGAACACTTTTCTAACTTGAAAAACAAGAAATAATAAGAGCTGGTTAACTATTATCCAAGCTATAGAGTACTACCCTGGTAGAATCCTTTGAACATTTATTTTCTTTGAAAGGCTTGAAAAACTATTTGTGGAACATCTACATGGAATCTGGAATGCTTATCATGTTGGTCAAACCAAGACATATTTTTATAGGAAAAGATAAATTTCTAGTTTCATTTTGAAACATGGTAGGCCTATAAAAAAATGACTCAATCAGCCACTGTACTGGCTCATTTTTCTATGTTATTTTTGTGTGACCAGCAAATTAGTACTGAGAAAGGTTAAAAACAAATAATGAAATAATTTATTCCTGTGAGTGATTTACAGATGATACAGCCTCTTATGTTAGGTTTAGAATATACTTCCGGCTAGGGCCCAGGACTTGCTAGTCAAAATTTAGAAGGTAGCAGGGGCCCAAGAAGGGAGAATAGAGACTGGGACCCAAAATATATTTTCAATACTAAAAATAAAAAAACTTAAAGAAATAAAACATGTTTATTCTTCAAGCTCTAATGATCTTAAGAGAAACTCTTAAAAATCAATGTCTAAAAGCAAATAGATTACTAACCTTCATAAAAGTTTACATTTTTAAATATTGGTTTACCTAAAAGGTTCACCCTAGGCTCATGATTTTCCTTTGTCTCATCTGTTCTCACCACATGATTTTTATAATCAACTCTTTTAACTTCCAATTATATGCTGATAACTTCCAAAACTTTATCTTGAGGTTAAAACCCTCTCCTGACCTTCAGACTGTCTGCTCTATCCTTGTTACTCCAAGCGTGCTCTTCAGATTAGCAACACTGGCATCACTCGGTGATGAGGTGTGTGGCCTGTCAGGTCCTAGCCCAGCCTGACCGAATCCGAATCTGCTTCTCAGCAAGATTCGCTAGTGACTCACATGCACATTAAAGTTTGAGAAGCACACAAGTAGATATCTCCAGACTGGAGGTTTTACAGACATTTCAACTCAAATGTCCAAAATATGGCAGCTTATATATGTTCCTTAGGGTAGAAAGGTCATCATGATAAGGCCTCTTATCGACCTAACTAGCCACATCATCACATTATCTACCTCATGATTTATGCCACAGCAACACAGAACCACTTGCTCCTGCATCCACCGTCTTTGTGCCCTGGCTCAGGCTTGGATGCTATTGACCACCAACTCCTCTGTCTCCCAGCCACTGCCTGACTCTCTTGCACTTAAGCCTCTAAGACTTAGCTTAGAGCAAACAGCTGCAGGAGTCTTCCTCAAGGACCTCTTCTATCCACCCTACCAAGACTGGGTTCAGGGTCCTCTTCTAGTCATATACCCTTCACATTCTGCTATGCATTGTAATCATTTTTTTCTCTCCCACTAGCAACGAGAGCCCCCAAAGGGCAAGAATCATGTCTTATTTAGCCTGACAACATTAATCCCTATCACAATGCTGAGACTACATAGGGCACTCAATAAATTTTTGTAGAATAAATATTAAACCAATAACTGAAACATCAGGTTTCTTTATTTGGGATTTCCTGCTGTTTAGAAGCTCTGAGAAACTGTTACTTAACATACTCAATTTGGTAGATAAAACCTTCCATAAAAAAAGATCATCAGGGGAAGGACATAAGGGTTCTTATTTTCTTCCTGGTAAAACTTCTGAGAGCTAATGCTCCGCGCTGTTTAACATTATACCAGTTACGGCCAAACTGATTACCCTCAGAATTTATGAGACTGACTAGTCTTAAGACTAGTAATTTTGAAGCCCTCTTTTAAGCTAATGAAACTTCATTTTAAGAATAAATATTATATAGATTGATGACTTTGAAGGATTTAGGCTTTCTATTGAGTCTGTGTTATTTTAATAACCTTTCCCATGTGATGTTTGTTACCTTTTTTAGTCATAATCGAAAAGTTTCCCTCCTATTTCAATTGTCTCTCAGAGTATTTGAAAAATGCATTTTTAAGAGTAAAGAAGCTTAGCTTTCAATACAAAATGAATTTCTCCAAACCTAATATAATGACCCAAATAATACACTTATAAAATTACAATGATTTCTCCAAAGAAATGCAAATGCACGTGCAATGTAATTTTAGAATCTGGAAAAGTAGCAGTGTGAGAACAATACTCCCACACACTCCCCACGCACAAAAAAGCAAAAGCTTTTTAAAAAATTACATCTGTTGAAACAGTATTCCACTTATCATTAAAAAAATTATAGAAGTAGGATGACTTAAAATATTCCTATCTAACTTAATAGGCAACTGGGCTGCTTTGTATAACACCGTATCCAGGATAGAATATGGACCACAAAGGTAGAAGTTCCTCTCAACTGGGTCTGAAATGTACTCAGAGATGCACCAACGTAGGAGGGGAGGCAGTACCACTAAGGTCTGGCAG